AGAAGCACAAGCTTATTTAATCCCACCCCTTTTCCACTATCTAGTAATCAATAGACAACAGAAATACCTCCTTGCAATTACATTATATGTTATGTGTTTTTTTATTATAAATTTTTCATATATAATATACATATATGTTTCTATCTATCCATACATACGTATATACACATACACACATTTTCAATAACCCCAGTAAGACCTCAAAGGATACACAACCTACAGATATATATACCCATACCAACATACCCGTGCACCCGCACACACATGAAAATATTAGACAAGAACACCCTATCAAATCTCTACCTCCTCCCTGTACCCTGTAAAAACCATATCCTTAAACCTCTTTTTAAACTGCGCCATGCTCGGACATTGCTTCATATCTTTACCTAGTCTTTTCCACAGCTTCACTCCACACACAGAGATGCAAAAACTTTTTAATGTTGTACGGATACAAGGATGTTTTAAATTTAATTCCCCCCTCAAATTGTATCCCCATTCCCTTTTAGAAAACAGTTTTAGAATATTGTCAGGAAGCAGGTTTTTTATTGCTTTATACATAATTTGTGCAGTGAGAAAATGAACCAGATCTGTGAATTTTTGATTTTAATAGAAAGTTATGAGCATGACTGACCTCTGCTTTGAGGTCATAATACATTGATATATTTTAATAATATGGTAACATTTGTCTTCTGAAAGTAAATCTGTAAAAATCTAAAACTGAGAGGTTTCAGTCCTAATGACTGGTTAATAAGGACTCACACAGCATCAGGAATTCAAGCTTTATCTTATAAAATCAATGCCATATTGGGTTGGGTTTAAATCAAAGGCTGGACAATTAATCATTGGTGACAGCACATTTGCTTCCTTACCAGAGCCGAACCTTTTCCTTTTCATTACTCTATAACTGAATACCAGAAAATTATTGTCTGGTTTACAAACCTGCCTGTGGGCATGCAGGTTTTTGAGGCCATGGCACCTGACCTATGGAATGCTCTTCCCGCTCACATGAGATTTGCTGATTATACAGACTTCAGAAAATTAGCTAAAGGCATATATGTTCACTGGGGTATTTCAGTAACATGTTTTATATCAAGTCTGCTATTGTGCAGTGCACATTTTGTCTTTTCATTGTTATGCTCTTAATGTTGTTTTAATAACTGTGCAGTTTTGAAATCTATATGTCTGTATCTTTTAAATTGTTTCCAGACTTTGTATGCATTAGATTACTTTATATACTCTGTTTGTGACAAATTTAAATGCCCAAGTGGGATTATACAAACAATCTAATCTAATTGAAAACAGAAAAGCTCAAAAAAGTGGGAAAAAAGGAGTGAAAAACTCTTTAAATTCCCTCTTTCATGGTTAATGTTCAGTTTTCTTGGTCCAAGAAGTAGAAAATACTCATCATGAAAGATGAAAGAGTAAGATGTGGACAAAAAAGGTGCCTCCAATCAAAGAGTTCTGATTTTTGAAACTCCCCATAGTTCTTTTTTACTTTGTTTTTGTTATGAGATGCAGATGAATCATACAGAGCCACTCCAATCACATAAACAAGATTTTTTTGTACCTCATTGTAAATTTTTTGTAAACACTATAAAGAGATGGACAGATGTTTGAAAAAAGAAATGAAAGTGGCTATGTATGCCAAGGAACAATTATAGTTAAGAGGAAGTGGACTGCGGGATTATTTAGAGGTTTTTACCATGAACACAATCACCCTAACAGTGTTTTCTGACTTCTGTTTCACAGAAAACTTTTCTAATTCACTAGATTTACAAACCGAAAAAGACAGAAAACACAAATGCAATCCTGGGTATTTCTACAAACTGGCAGGCTCTCTCAGTTGATCCTAGCAGATAAGCATACAATAAGACACTAAATGCTTTAGATTATTTGTTGGCAAACTTTTCTTTCCTTTCTCTCACTCATTGTCTCTCTCCTTCCCCCCTTCTCTCCCCATGTTGCATTGTACACAAACTGGAGCACTGTATGGCATGTGGTGCAGAGAATGAGTCAGACTGCCCACCAGCTGTGAGCCTGGCTTGCCAGTGGGGAGGAGTAAAGATATTTCACGCAGGGCTGCATGACATCGATGTGGGTGATTTGCAGGGTTATTAGCTGAAAGCCAATGGCTAGCTGCAAAAATGGACCTCAGGTAAAGCTTATAAAAAAGTGACCATATGATTATAATTATAATATTCCAGCTGGACACCTACATACATTTCCTCTACAATAGTAATGAAATCAGTGACTCTGAAAATATACTTTATTCTTATTAAGGGTCAAAGTCAAAGAACAAAAAGTTTCACTTTTATATTACTAGTTTCATTAAAGAGCAAGCAAAGTAATAATTACAACAGAAGTATGGTTTGGTAGGAAATGCACACATTTTAAATAAAAATGTTAAATATTTACTGTTTTTTTTACTTCCATCAACAATGGTCACTGATATTGGCAATCGTTTTTGGAATTAATATTCTTTGGATTAATTTATGGTAAATGGCCTGTATTTGTATAGCGCTTTACTAGTCCCTGAGGACCCCAAAGTGCTTTACACATTCAGTCATCCACCCATTCACACACACTGGTGATGGCAAGCTACATTGTAGCCACAGCCACCCTGGGGCGCACTGACAGAGGCTTATTTCAAATAAAAAAATTTAACAAAAAGTAAAAATCCTGACATGGCTTCGAAACAGTATATTGCAATAACTTAGCAGGAAAAAAAATTCTATAACAAGAACATAAAACTGTTTTTTAAAACCTTAAACTGCCAGTTCGGGGTGGGTTTCAGTGGGCCCGTACATTTGGCCAGTTGCATACAACTCTTGAATACATCGTTTTTGAATAAAGTATAACAGAATAAAACAAATATAACGTTTAGTTATCTGTACTTTTAACCCCTTGCCGCCTCTACCGTTCCCGAGCGGCTACTGTTGTTCAACTTTCCTGCTTGCTTTGGGGACATGTACCTGTAAAACTTGCCTCCTGCTTGCCACTACACGCTAAAACCCTATTATCCAATTAGCAGCGTTAGCGGAGGGGTTCGTCCTTGGCACGGCAATTTTCCAATTAGAAACACGTGCATTTGCTCCCCTACTTAGAGACATGTGGCCGGGACGTTCGCGTTTTCGCAGACTTAGACAACACTGTCTGGGGGGGAAACTAAAAATCAAAACATGTACGCTTTGGTGAACGCCTTCATGCGTTGCCTCTCTTTTCTCTTGCCTCCTTCTTGGCTTTGTGTCAGCTTTTGCTTGTGGGTTGGGAATGAGTGCGAAGAGACGCTACAGCGGCCCAATCCCAGAGCTCGTTTCAAAAGCAGAGAGCCTCTTACATATGAGGAAGTAAAAGCAGCAGCAGAAGCAGAAGCACAAGGAGGCTCCAGACCGTCGGTCTCACCAGGTCCAGACTGCGTCTCGCTGGCTGCTACAAGCCCCGCTGCTCCTAAGGGCCCTTCGTCGGGTCTGATTTGGATAGGGGGTCTCTGGCGAGCCGTGGAGCGCGTCTTCGGAGCCCCCTGGGTCCTTCTCCGCCATCACCTGTGCCCGAAAAGGCGACGTGCAGCTTTGGGCGCCCAGTATCCTGTCTGTGCCTTCGAGTCGGGTAAGATTAAAAGCTTCCAGAGAGGCGCTGCTGCTGCTGCTGCTGCTGCTGCTAAAATCGTGGACGTGAAGGGACCGGGTGAAACCACCTTTACTTATTCGAAGAATATGAGCGGGTCCGTGGGGGTACCCAGTGTGAACTCAACGGAATGCGCCTCGGATGCGTCGGCGGAGCAGGGCATCGATGAGGTAATTACCGTGGACCAGCTCTCGCAGGAGATGGGGACGGTGACGATAACAGTGGCCATTCAAGCGGCTGAGGACGAGGAACCCGAGGAAGTGACATCCAATAATGCTGACTTCCTCGGAGGTAGCTGTAGCGAGGACGAAATCGGAAGACATGACAAATCGAGGTTTGTGTCATTTGCTACTTTAAGTTAATTACCGTAATGCCTAGTGCTGTGAAAACTCAAACTAACTAAATCCTATCCTACACGTTAATGTGAAACCTGTTAGTTTAGTTGTTCAATTCCCTCCAAGGAAGTTCAGCAAGGTTGGAAGTAAAACAAGTGACTGTGTTAGTTCTTACTGGAACCCCACGAGTGTCTTTGTGCTCTGAATTTTATTCTTAAGCTGATGATGACAGCACGGGAGCAGCTTTGGCACAGTTGGACTGTTTTGTTTCAGTATAAGAATGCCACTCACATGAAAGGCTATTGTAGAAATGTCACAAATTCCAACAGGTGCATCACAGGCACAACAAAACCCGGCAACGAGTGCAGTAGATGAAAATAGATGCTTACAATTGGGAGTGTAAATCCTCACAGGCACGGGTGAGGGATATTATTATTTATTATTATTGTCTTTTGGGTTGGAAGTGTTTAACCACCAGTAGGCAGCATCATAGCTATAAAGCTAGACACCTGAGACGGAGAGATAAAGGATGGCACCTTCACTTTAATCTAATTCCCCTGCGTCATGGCCTGCTATTTTTATCCTCTGGCCTATAAGGTCCCTACTTGAACTACATGCACAAAGAGTGAGTCAGTGATAGAAAGGCCAAAGGGGAAAATAAATCTCTTTCTTCATACCAAGCATTTGTTTACTTGGAGCTACTGAGGTGTGACCTGTGTGACAAAGGGCTCTGTAACGCCTGCAAGCTATTGCTTTACAGCACGTTTTTCACACAGCTGGTATTTTAAGTGGTTAAGGTCTAGGAATCGTTTTTAGGACGTGTTAAATGTAAGCTATTGGTTTTAGTCTAATATTCCTCCTGCATTCCTCCAGAGAACTTGTGTAGAGTGACTTGAAAATAAATGTCTAACTATCGAATAATCTCTTGCGTTGTCTTTGCTCGTGCCTCTCGTCCTATTATTTGAGGAATGCAGGAAGGTATTCTCTTCTAAATTCTTGTCGTGCTTTATCTGACATCCTGGGGAAGATGTGGGCTTGTGCCAGCTGTATGGTCAGTGGGCTGGAAAGCTGCTGAGCGAGGGTGTGTGAGGGAGGAGGCTGGAGGAGGTGATGAGTCATCCACAAAATTTCATTCAGACCCTCACTCTAATCTGTAAGACTACCTGACTGTGCAGCTTTACGGCAGCTGTCAGGCTGCTGTCAAATTATGCCTCAAAGCTTCAGTTATGCACTGTTGATACCAGTTTTTGTAAACTGTGTGAAGTTGATGTGGTGAACCACCATATTCTATGTGGGAGGGAGAGCCTGTGTCTCTGGCCTTCAGATGGAGAGGTCTTGGCAGTTTCAGGACTGGCGGGACACTGGTGTAAAGGTCTGGCACTGAGGCATGGTGACTGTGGCTAGAGACGCAGCTTGTCAACTGCTGAAAGAAAAATCAGGAAGGAGGGAAGCAAACGGTCAAACGCTTCTCATGCCAGCATGTTGTTTGGAGAAATGACAGGATAAGATTGTATTACTGCCAAAAACTTGTAAGCCTCTGGCTTATTGTATTAATGAAAGTAAAATGTGTAACAGTTGTAATGTTGGTGGTTGAGGATATGAAACATTCTGCTATTTCGGTAACGCACTAAAAAAGGTTCTCTGGCCATGATGCACGTTATCTTCCCACACACAGTGGTGCCGGGACCAGCGGAGGAGAACTGGAGGAGGAGAGCTGGCAGCCCCCGGATCCAGAGCTTATCCAGAAGTTGGTTACTCAGATTGAGTACTACCTGTCTGATGAGAACTTGGAGCATGATGCCTTCCTGCTTAAACATGTCAGACGTAACAAACTCGGGTTTGTTAGCGTCAAGTTGCTCACCTCCTTCAAAAAGGTAACGGTGGCAAAATTTTGAGGTAGTCTAGAAACACGGCAATGTCTCATTTCAGTACACATCAAACTAAGGTGGGAAAGTACACACGCTCTTCTGCTGCTGGCTAAAACATACACATCACATACTAAATTTTATACTAGAGACTCAGAATTATGTCTTGTATTACTATAGATTAGCCAGTGTGTGTTGCGTTGCACATTGTGATTTATAGTTGACCACAATGAATAAATTAACTTTTAAGTAATGCTGAGAGAAAAGGTAGTCTTAGAATTGAAATATGGCTAAAGATGAAAGTCATTTTTATCTCCTAGTGACAGAAGCTTGTGAGAGCTGAATAACAATGACTGGCTGCTTCTAGTGTCAGCATGACTAGCTGTTGCTGTTTGGTGATATTCTCACGTTAATTCACAACAGCTTGTGCTAATTTCAGCTCAATTCAGATGTGTTGGCTTTTTTTTAGATCTGTTTGCACAGATTAAACCTAGATTGTATTCATGATCATTCACACATTTATTACCCTCTACTCAATATCTCTGTATAGAATAAACTCTTGACAGATTACATTGGCCAGAAGAAAAATACTGATGTGCATTTTCTAAAAAAAAAAAAAAAAATTCTGAATTTGATGAATAAAAATCTTTCCAGGTCAATATTTTTAGACTCAAACAGAATAGTGCTACACTTCAAAATAATTATTTGCCTTGCACTTGGTGCAGGCTCTGTTCTGAAAAAGCAAACTGTCATGACTGGTTGCTTCTTGCAAACAGTTTGAACAGTAGGTGGGTGGGACTGTCCTGATGACATCCAAAACTTGTACCTGAGAGGATCATATTGACATTGTTTTGGGTTGTTTTTTTTTTTTTTTATGTAATAAGTATACACCTGTGCAACAGTACATGTGGTAGACGATAAAGAACATCATACTCCTTACTCTAGTCAGTTTAATTTTTCCTTCGGTGCAGTATCAAGCAATGTACAGTACTTGGGTAGTGACAGCTGTAGACCAGTTTAAGGCATAGAGAGATACTTTAACAGAGTACTAGTCACTACACGTTTGGAATGTACTATATGGCAAACTGACTATAGTAAGGGATGAGCACTTGCTGATTTAATCTGATTCAACCATGAGCTCAGAATCACTGAGCTAAAACATAAGTTTGGGCAATATAGTAAAGTGAGAATTTTTGGCTTAAATTAATGGGTATACATAGAGATTTAGGAAGTATGATTAACAAGAAGCTGTGAAACATTCTTAGTCTATCTTGGTGACAGACTGAAGTTAGCGTGGCCATTTTTACTGAAGCTTAATAACTCATAATTAAAGGTAGTTTCACTGAAATTGTGACCCGATGGTCACTGGGTATATGACTGTAACAAAGATGTTGTTTGTTTTTTTTTTTTCCCCCAGGTGAAACACTTAACTCGTGACTGGAGAACCACTGCTTATGCTCTGAGACACTCAAAGATCCTTGAGCTGAATGATGAGGGGCGTAAGGTGCGACGTAAATCCGCAGTACCAGTCTTTGCCAGCGAGTCACTGCCCAGCCGCATGCTACTATTAAGTGATTTGCAGAGGTGGCCAGAGCTGGCTGCTCTCACTAAGGATAATGGAAGTGCTGAAGGAGGAGCCACTCAACAGGAGCAGCTGATGAAGCTGTTACTGAAAGCATTTGGAACATATGGTGCCATTGCCTCTGTTAGAGTCTTGAAACCTGGAAAGGACCTGCCGGCTGACCTGAAGAGGCTGAGTGGTCGCTACGCTCAGCTGGGCACTGAAGAATGTGCCATTGTGGAGTTTGAGGAGGTGGAGGCTGCTGTTAAAGCCAACGAAGCTGCGGGGAGTGAGAACGGAGGACCCAATTTACTGGGGTTGAAAGTGGTTCTGATTGGCACCAAGCCGCCTAAAAAGAAGGTACCAAAAGAACGACCTCGTGAGGAAGGAGGGATGCGGAAAAGCCGCTCTCTAAACAGCCGGGTACGAGAGCTTCAGTATCATGGGGACGACTCTGCTTGCAGCTCTTCGGAGACAGAGAGCACCCCTACATCTCCCAGATTGGCTAGAAAATCCCAGTCGTGCAACAAGCTCAGCCCCACCACTGCAGGCACTAGCTTCCAGAATAATCACCTGAGTCCAAGTATGTCCCCACGTAACAGCCCCTGGTCTAGCCCTCGTGCTAGCCCGTGTTCTCAGCGCAAATCTCCTCATTCCCACAAGTCTCCCTTAGCTGTTGAGGGTAGACTGAGCCCTGAGTCTGGACGTCGTTGGGCAGATTACTCCTCAGACAGTAGCCTCACACCTTCAGGGAGCCCGTGGGTTCAGCGGCGGAAGCAGGTGGCATCACAGGAAAGCAGCCCGGTCGGCAGCCCGATGCTGGGTAGAAAGATCCAGAATGCTGATGGCCTGCCGCCAGGAGTAATGAGGCTGCCAAGGGGTCCTGATGGAACTCGTGGCTTTCACTGTGTGGCGATTGAGAGGGGAAAGACTGCTGCTACTCAGACTTGATATGTGGAGCCTCATTATGTATTCGCTGACCCCCCCAGAAATAAAATGAGATATTGGAAGTTTAAACAGTTCTTGGCCATGTTGCTCAAGCCCCACCCCACATTTCAGACTGTGTAGATATATAATTTTTTTTTTTTTTTAGTGCATCAGTTTTGAGTCTTTGTTATATTTTTATACAACATTTTGAGTTACCATGGTAACATTAGTGATTTACTAATGGAAATTTGAGTGAATGTAAATTAATATTGTTTTGAGACAGAACTTTGAACACACCACTGACATGAACCATTCCACCTCCATTGTATGAGAGCTTGTTCTACTTGGGGTGACCTGGAGGAAA